ACATATTATTCTGTTTGTTTTAAAATAAATCTCTAGCAGAGTGGTCTATTCCAGGAATCCGTAACGTCCTCCTCCCTCCCCTCCGATTATTACAATATGACTCTTATCTGAATGGATGGCTGGATCGATGTCAAGAGTTTTCTGTTTTTGTTTCCTGAAAGTACAGAGCGCAATGCAACATGTGAGAAGAATTTTCCAGTGTCTACAATGATGCCTCTGATGTTGTACTCCTCGTCTCCTTTCCTTTGCCAACATACAGTAGATTGTTTCTCACTGTAGAAATGGGTCCGATTTACAAGACTGTTGTGGTAGAGAGTGAGGATTTTTTCCCCTCCTGTTGTTCTGTAAACATTTCTGTCGATGGAGGGCAACAGCGTTAGCTAACAATAATAATGGTATCAACAACAATGTAAGTTGAAGAAAGAAGTGAGAAGAGGTGAAAGGGGAAATGTGAAAAATTATTTTTATGGGGTCTTTAATTCCAATCCGGCATGGAATTCTGATCTTTAATCGCGGTTTATCGTTTTCTTGAGGAAGTGTAATGTCGCCTGATATAACAAAGCATTAATTATCACATATATAACTGTTATAGAATACTCTCAAAACGTGGTACTTCAAGCTTTTTGAGCGTTCTGTATTAATTTTTGACTGGCGTGGCGTTTATAGGAACAATGGCAAGTGGTAAAATATTTTCCGTGTATGAAGTTGTAGGTACGCATTTTTTAGATGTACTTACCTTGAACTATCTGCAGGATAAATTAATTTGAGTTGACGATCTTTTTTATTTGGAAAAAAGTTACGTTTACATAGTACATGGAATATGAGCGCGCGTTTAAACTCCCATCCTCTGTACCAGTCTTGTTAATGTATTAATTTCTGTTGAGTTTATCCCGGAGTCGAGGACAGCTAAACTGGTTAACTCAATCAAAGATATAGGTAAACTATCTCGGGGTGAACGAAATCAAACTGCCGGTTTAAAAATGCTTTCCCCTGACAGTAAATGAACATTCAAAGTAATAGCTGTAAGAGCAACACTTGTTTCCTAAACAGAAACCATCGATTCACATTTTTCTCCAGATTGGTCTCATCCTCTTGATTCTTGAATGTGTTTGCTTAGCTGCTAGCCCAGACAGTTCCTTTCATATGAATCGGGCTTCTGTATTGCGGTGCCAGTAGTAATCAATCGTTTGATACTGATGCTTCAAATATCTACTGGGTGTTAAAAGGTTAGTATGGAGTCTATATTATAGACTTTCCCGTTGTATTTTGGCAACAACTATGATTGCAATAAATTTACAGTTACAGCCGGCTATTTTAACTTCTTTCGAAACGTTAGCACCAAAAAAACTTGTAGCTAGAATCGGCACAGCCACAGAGACTATTTTATGCAACTGCCGACGCAAATACGTTCAAAATTCAGTCGGCAGAAAGGTTTAGAGAAGTGCGAGAATATCCTCTTTGGGGATGGGCACTCGCCTCATATCTACGACGTAGGTGACGCCTCCTTAATGATTTTAATTCAGTTAGTTCTGGAACCCGAATCCATACCTGTTGTTTACTAGACAGTAAGTTTCCGTAAATCCCATGGAATTTATTTCCAAGTAAATGTGCCTAACGCTGAAAAATTTCACGTATTTACTACAGTCCGGTTAAATTAAATTGGGTTTATGGAGGGATGTCTTTAAGATTATTCTATTAGGCTGCAATCCCAGGAGCGCTCTTTCTTTGAAGTAAACAATGCAAAGCGCACTGTTAGGCTGCAGTCCCTACCAACGCTTACCTATGATATTGACTCCAATAGAATTTATTTCTGAGTAGGCATGGATGTGTAGTCACTTGCTGTTCCTATTGCCTAGATGTAAATGACACGCTGCAAATAATTCACTCCCGTCATGTCAGGTTAAACGCCGGAGGCATCTTCCAATGTGACAAAAAGCTTTAGAAGTTTCTTCTACAACCTGTGTTTAGGACTAGCATTTTATATGCTTATGTATTCAATAATTTACATTATAATCTCCAAAACATTAAGGCTGCGATCCCCCATGCATTTTACCAGGAGTAAACCTCGTTCACTTCGTGGGACTTAATGTCTGAGTACAATTCATAGGACAGTAACCTGAATTGAAACATTCAAGTGACTTATATGCATTTTAAACGTGATTTTACGATTTTATGGCAAAATGGGTTTTTCTTGTAGTTATTATTTTATAAGGACTATAAGCCAGCTCAAGCGCTACTTCGCCGTAGGAAGGCGGGGTATAAATGTAATTAATTAATTAAGTTTTACAACTTAAGAAAAAAATTATTGGCTCTTAGCCGCAGCTGATTTTTAAGGACCTCCTACCTATTTATTTCCTCTTGTGCCATTTATTGGCACTGGATGTTCGAAAGAGCCTTCAGGTGAAATCGAGAACAACCGCATCATTTACCGGAATCCCACCAGAATGCCTGCAAAACCTCCATAGTGTGCGTCCAGCATTTATTGTTGTTGTTTAGTCGTGTCGGTTTCTTCAGTGACCCCATGGACCAGAGCATGCCAGCCCCACCTGTCTTCCACTGCCTCCTGGAGTTGGGTCAAATTCATGTTGGTCGCTTCGATGACACTGTCCAGCCATCTCGTCCTCGGTCGTCCCCTTCTCCTCTTGCCTTCACACTTTCCTAACATCAAGGTCTTTTCCAAGGAGTATTCTCTTCTCACGAGATGGCCCCAGTACTGGAGCCTCAGCTTCAGGATCTTTCCTTCCAGTGAGCATTCAGGCATTTAATCTCAACTCTAAACGTATATAACTTTAACATGTCGATTTCCTCCTTTTCCTCTCCTTTTTGCAACATCTTGCCTAATGAAGACATCTAGAGGCTTGACATTTTAACATCACATTTGAATTAGAAAGATGGGTGCACTCCCTACTCTGCTCTACTTTCTTCTACTACTTTTTAAAATACTTTACATTTTAAAGGATACCTTGTGTTTTCTAAGCCTGTCCACCGAATAATTTTGGTAAATAAGTCAATTTTCCAAAGAAATGCTTTTCGAATTGTGCAATCATCTCAGCTCCTTTTATTCTCTGACCTCAAAACAGAAGAACGTCCGCTTGGGTTACCCTTTTTCTGTGTTGAGCCACTTTCGTGGACATAAAACTCGTTTTTTTCACATTTTTAGTCAGTTGTGTTGTTGTTATAGAGTTTACCTTGTATAATAAATGTAAACAGTTAGGAAATGAATCAGACTGGTCTAAGTCCAGATTTCAGCACAGTGAGTGGACTTATAAAATAATTAATTTTCTGAATAGTTTATATTTACTGTATACTTGCATTTTACTTTTTATCATTTTCTTGGGAAGTCACACAAACATCAATGGTATCTTAATCAAGGGTTCATTTAGGTCAACATAGGTGTTGTTACTAATCACTTTTTTTTTTGCAGATCCTGACAGATTTTCTTTGGAAATGTTTCCTGTTTCCTGAAAATAGTATTTCCAAGATTCAAACAGCAATATTGTATTCGTAATATATTATTCCCTTTTCTAAGTTAGCCCAACTATTGAAAGATAAATGATAATGGAAGAATCTGGTTTTACAAACATCAGTACAATTGGTAGATAGTAGCTCTGAAATCAACTCTATTAAGGAGCACATATTTTTTAAAAAATGTAATTAAGTGCAAACATCAGTTTGTAACTTAGTGTTATCCAAAATTAAAATACAAAGTAATTAAGGCAAAATGTCAGTGTCAGAAAGTTTTTTAAAATGCATTATATCTTCTCTGAGTAAGCACAGTATTCCAAACGAAGTTTTTTGGTAAGTAATTGTAGCTGCAGTCAGTTGCAATTAATGCTAATACATCTTTCATATCAGGATTATGCATTGTACTGATGGACTCTGAACTTGATTTATAGGTAAAGTTATTTGATTCTGATATGTTTTGTAATAGTAAATATTAAAATTTTCATGGTCCCAGAATTATCAAAAGAAAATATTAAAAATAACTTTAAAAAAAAAAGAGTGATAGCGTTGGTTTGTAAAATAAAAAGTTTCCCACAGTTAAACTAAACCTTTCCATTGAAGAGCTATGAAAAGGCATCTTCACTGAGATTGTTCAGTATACATGTGCTTTTATTGTATCAGTTAATTACCAGTTTAGTAACCAAGCTAGCCAAGCTGCGTTGTGATGTGGTCTGCACCCATCCTCCATGTGGTTGCAATATTATCTTTATAGGACTTGTGTATTTTACTGTTCTTGTTTAAGTTAAGCCTGCCATACTTGTACCCTCTTGCTTTAGTTGAAACAGATACACAACAGTGGCAATAATGCAGATGCATTCTAAGACATGACAGGTTCATGCATTATACGTGTCCTGTATGTAAAGGATTTTAATTGAAGAGTTACCATGGAAGAATGGATGAAATATGATAAATAAAATACACCTGCAAAGAAGCTGAACCCACCTGGTATTCAAAAAGTTGAAAAGGAGGTTCAAAGACTGAAAGTTACAAAGGTTTTCAGATTGTAACTGCCCTGGAACTTCCCAAAAGGCACTCTCTCTAGATATGCAGCTGATCCCATGATTAAAAAAATATTCCTGGACTGCAAAGGGTGGCTGTACGATGGAGAGTAGGTTGCACTCAAAATGAAAGTATTTTGTAACTGAGAAATACTCTACTGTGCTTGCCATGTCCACTACAAACTAGTACTGTATTAGCCCCTGGATGTGAAATGATTTACAGCAAATGGCATAGTTACTTTTCTAGTCCAGTCCATTTTAAATGATGACATATTATAAATAATTCATAGTACAGAAAATAAACTATAAATAGTTCATTTACAATTTTACCTTAATTCTATCTGTTACATTTCCAATATTTTACAAAGCATATAATCCAGCTGAATGATAATAATTTATTGTTAATTGCATGTTCTGCAGAATCACTATTTGCCCATTTTCTCAAGCTTTTTGTAATAATACTATAATATTCTTATTGTAGGTTAGAGACCTGAAAAAATGGGTGACTGGAACTTTCTGGGGAGACTATTAGAGAATGCGCAAGAGCACTCCACAGTTATTGGCAAAGTTTGGCTGACGGTACTGTTTATCTTCAGGATCCTGGTGCTGGGGGCTGCAGCTGAGGAGGTTTGGGGAGATGAGCAATCAGACTTTACATGCAACACACAGCAACCTGGTTGTGAAAATGTCTGCTATGATGAAGCCTTCCCCATCTCTCATATTCGTTTCTGGGTGCTGCAGATCATTTTTGTTTCCACCCCAACTCTCATCTACCTGGGTCATGTTCTTCACATTGTGCGCATGGAGGAAAAGAAGAAAGAGAAGGAAGAACAGATGAGACAAACAGGAAATTCCAGCCACTTACAGGGATCCAAAGGGGAAGTGGGCAATGGGGATAACAGCAACAAAGAGTCACCTCCCCAAAAAGATGAAAAATTACCACTCCGGGATGAGCGTGGGAAGATTCGCATGGCAGGTGCCCTGCTACGCACCTATGTTTTCAATATTATCTTTAAAACTCTCTTTGAGGTTGCCTTTATTGTGGGCCAATACTTCCTATATGGTTTTCAGCTGAAGCCACTCTATCGCTGTGGCCGTTGGCCCTGCCCAAACATGGTGGATTGCTTTATTTCACGACCCACAGAGAAGACAGTTTTCATTGTCTTCATGCTGGCTGTGGCCTGTCTTTCACTGTTGCTCAACATGTTTGAAATGTACCACTTGGGATGGAAGAAGTTCAAGCAAGGCATGACCAGCAGACCCATCCAAGCAGCACCTGCCTTCACTACCATTGCAGCTATAACCTCAGAAGTGGAAGACTCCAAACCTGTCTCTCTGTCAGCATTGCCTCCAACTGCAGAAGCTCCTGTTGCTTCAGTCACTATGCCTGAAACTCGTGCCATCACCCCACTGACTTTTCCACAAACTGAGTTGCCACATTATGCTGAGGCTACCGCTAGGCCACCTCAACCAGTCTCTGGTTCAACCTCTTTGGCTGGATATCCAGCTGGAGAGGAGAGGCTCAAACCCATCAGGCACACTGCGGTCTCCACCCCTATAACAACAACATCTTCCATGCCTTCACCTTCACCGGTTGTCACCTCCTACTTCAACAACCATGCACTGGCTCATGAGCAGAACTGGGCCAATTTGGCAGTTGAGCAGCAGAGAAAAATGCCTGTCTCTAGCTCAGTTGCCTCTTCTACCCCTAGCAGTTTCCAACAATCACATCCGGAACAAGAAGAACCCAGTGAGCACCATCTACCTCCACCATCTCTCTCACCCGTAGCTGCTGCCAACAGCAGTAGCATGAGTACCAGCCTGAGTGAGGGAAGTGGCAGCAAATGGGGTGGAGAAGGTGAAGATGAAGACAGGCCCATGTCAGCAACCTGCACTCTGGTGGAGATGCATGATCCACCGCTGCTCATAGACACACGTCGCTTGAGCAGGGCTAGTAAGTCTAGCAGCAGTAGAGCCAGATCAGATGACTTGACCGTGTAATTTGAATCCCTACAGTGGGAGGGATGAATGACAGAAACAGCAAAATGTAATTAGGAAAACACACTAGGGAGGGAGGGAGGGAGACATAAAAGGGTAAGGCTAGCCTCAGCCCCATAAAAGAGGGGATAGGGATGTCAGGGTTCCAAATTTTGAAGCTTGCAGTTCTTGCACTCTGTGGGTTGTAGTGGTGGTGGGAGGTATAATTATCAATGTTTTCTAGTAGGTCAGGCATGGTTGAAGTGCAGCCCACTGGCCAAGGGACCAATATTAGCCAGATCATGTGGGGGAGAAAGACGCTTTTGCAGATAAGAGGCCAGCAAAAGTATGTTTACTCTTTGATCTCTGCCATCTATCTCTTACCCTCACTCCTGTTATACTTCCCTCCATTGGTTCAGATTTAGCTCTTAGTAAGCAGAAGCATTTTCCTTTCTGTTTACCTTTCTTACCTACCACCAATCACTTCCATAACCATGAAGGTAACAGAAAAAAAATTCTATCACCTTCTTTGGTTAAACAATCAGGTAAAAAACTAAGCAGACAGGTGCTTTTAATTTATGTAGTACAACTTCTTACTCTAGAAAGTTGCCAGTTTCTAATGGGTCTGGACTGGCCAATAGCAGAGTAACCCCTGCTGTAGATTTAAGCATTTGTCTTTTCTTTTATTAGCATTATTTTCTTTTTTTTTTGGACTTCGAATCTGTGAGAATATGTCAAGTTTGAGATTCTTCTATACACTGTTTCCAAACTATGGGTACATATTTTACACATATGTATTTTTAAAAATGTTTGGTTAGATTTTCTGAAATTACTTCTGAATCTGTAAAGCCGAGGATAAAGAATGAAAGCACACATCTCAATATATGACATAACCTAGTTTCTAATTTAAAAAGGAATTGTTCCAGTATTTTATAGCCCTTTGTGCTGATTGTGAGCAAAACTATAGGATCAACTAGGACTGTGCATTTTAAGTGACTAGATAGTTTTGAATTAGTTGGGAAAAGTAGTGAATGCAGAATTAATCAGAATTTAAAACTCTGATTTAATTAAATGATAAGAGTAAAGAAAGAAATTGACTCTCTCATTACAATAAATGGAGCTCTAACATGTTTAACTTTAGCCAGTAGGACTAAAATTAACTTGCCAAAACCATAATAAGTCTGCATACTTGAAGAAATAAAGCTGTGGACCAGAGGTTTCATATAAATAGTGAAAGCAAAATGCCAAGGCTGCAATCCTATGTACACCTGGAAGTAAATCTCATTTTTCTCAGGGGGTTTATTTACCAGTGCCCATGTATTAACTCAATAAAGAAAGTCACAGCCTAAAATGTGCAAGATCTCAGCAGGGCTTTCAGCAATAGGACTTTATGGAGATCACTAATTCATAGGACTGCTATAAGTTGAAAATGCCTTGATGGCACACAACAATAGATGTATAAATCAAACGAAATTGCACCCTTTGATATTTTAACATTATATAACCTAAATGTATCAAATTCATATTTGTATTCTGTGTAGTTAGATGTGCCATGAGATTAAAGATAATCATAACTTAATAGAAGAGACAAAAGGAATTACAAAGCAGCATCTTTTTGCATTGTATTCACATGGTTGTTGCTACACATGGAAAATAGCTTCTAATTGGTTTGCAGCATTATAATCTGTCCTAAATAAGCATGTAAGGTGTGATCCAGATAAAGTTAATTGTGCTAACTTCCAACTAACTTCTCTAGAACAGAATGTAGCATACACTATAAGACTATTTAAACTATTTTATTTTAACACCTTTTTTGCATTTCCCATATTTGTAAATTAAATTAAGAACTACATTGTCCAGTATTTTAATACCTGGTGATGATCTTCAAATTTCTGGTCTCATCTAGAAGTTATACAGTCTGATAAAATATGTAATTTGTGAAACACTCTAAATGAAAATTAAATTCACTGCACCATCACTTAATAGTACATTCATAGGCATGCTTAGTCAGAAGTAAGCCACAATGAGTTCAATGCAGTTTCCTCTCAAGTAGGTTGTATAGGACGGCAGCCTCTGTCATTCTATGAAATTGCAGTTGAGACTTTTGCATGCCCTAATAGTATTCATCCCACTTTTAGTTTTAATAGGTACATATAAAGACAAAATCACGGTATAGTACATCTAGCTGTTGCAATATCCTGTCAGCCTATCCCAGACAAACTCTAAATTAAGGCATTATGTGAACACCATGCCTTGATGTAGTGTTCAGTTTGGTAGAGTTATGATATGACAAAATACAAATCTACATTAATTAAATGTAGTTAGTGTTTCTAAAAGGTTAAATAATGCTCTAAAAAGTTTGTTAACATTTTGACCAGTATTCTGCTATTTTACATACTTGCAAAAGGGTAATTGCTTAGGTGTTTCCCTGTACCTGCAGGCTGCCTTTTGCATATCCAGTCTTGCACTGCTAGCAAGATTGGTTGTGCAACCAGTTGTGCAATTCATTATGTAATAGAGGGTCTGCTAGCGTAAGGAAATGCTTACATAATTACTATTAATCTCTGAATAGGATACTGATGTGTGAACAGTACTTCAGTTGACAGAGAATGAAGCTGTTAACAGGATAAAAATAGTTTGTATTCACCAAATGTGCCCAAGAATGAGCAAAGTTTATAGTACCAAAGACTGTTGAACCCATGTCTTGAAGGGAGTCAGTGCCTACGTTGGAGGCATTCCTTGATATGCTCAATTCACTAGCCATGATCCAGATGATTGTAGATTGGCAGTTTCTAGTGTGTTGCTGAACCCTTAGGCAAGTAGTGCCTGGGGTGTGTTTTTGAGAAGCATGACATCCTCTGTGAGCTAAGCTGCAGGCTTTCCACATGCATTAGTAGATTGCTAGATGTGCTGGTTTGCTACCATCCAGTATGTAAGCTTTTGCACAGCTAGTATGGTAGTTCTCCCTTGACAACCCTGTGCAAAGGGACATATGCATGATGGAACATTTTGAAAAACCAATAAATATGAGTGATGGCAACACTCTTCTAGATTCTGTCATGAATATAAGCCATATATTAAAAATTTAAGATAATAATGCTGGATCAGACCAATCTATCTAGTCCAGAATCCACAGTGGTGAATTAGATGGCTCTGGAAAGGCTACAAACAAGTCTCAAAGACAATACTGTAGTGATATCTTGCTGTTGCTCCCCAGAAAATGGCATTCAGAGGTATAATGCCCCTGAATTTAGAGGTGCCATGTACCTGTCATGATTCATAGCCATTGATACATCCATCCTCAATGAATTAATCTATTACCTATTCAAAGGCATCTACATTGTGCCTTAAAACACAGTAATACACAATATTCTGTTCCCAGGATTACATATGCAACATCACTGAAACAATGTGAAATCAGTAGGCTTGCATATATAGAAATGGGAGCAGAATTTCACTGTTTGCTTTTTAAAAAATGTCTGCAATTGAAAGCAAATGATAATGAAGCTCTGTGTATATAATGGCATGTATGTGGAGGGGACAGAATTGTGCAAGTGTTCTTTGTGACAAACTGTGTATTCATGTTTCTCACTGTAAAGAGTGATTTTGGCAAAATTACTCTTGTGTTCTATTAAGGATGCAGTCCTATGATACTTGCCCAGGAGTACATTCCATTGAACCCAATGGTATTTACCTCTGAGAATACATGCTTAGGATTGCACTGATGAGTGATATTTCTGATCTTGGAAAACATGGCTTCAATTCGACTCATGATTCCCTAGAGTCAATGGAAATTATAGTTCTTTTTCAATGTATATACATAAGAATTACTATAAAATGTATAGGGAATAAGGAAATTATGACAAGAATCACTCTAAGAGAAGTCCTCTTTCTTGTTTTACGTACAAATGTAATGCAAAAAAAATGTGACTACAGTTAATCAAGAACAACTATTGTAACAGTTTACTTATGATTTTGTGAGCATGAGTAAAGAGCCCTGATTAAAAGTTTTCTAATCTTGATATTTTGGTTTGTATGCTTAGCGTTTTAACATAGCCAACCCGAGTAGACATGGTCTAGAGGGGCGGGGTATAAATTTAATAAATAAATAAATAAATAAATAACTTTGAAATATATCTGTGAAGATTTTTAGTCATCTAGGTGAGGTTATCTCAACGTTGAGTCATGGCAACTGGACTTCTTTCTTATTAGGCTGAAATGTTTCACTACTCATCCCATGACAATGGGTGGAGAAGGACTGCAGAAGTGGGATTTTCACTCACCCCTAGTCCTTTGTCCATCTAATGAGCCTATTCAGACCAGGGGAAGTGAAACCAACATGGAGGATATATCAAGGGTTTCCTACCAACTCTCCTCAGACTGAAGAAGTTACTTGGATGAGTAGTGAAATATTTCAGCCGAATAAGAAAGAAGTCCAGTTGCCACGACTCAACTTCCAGATTTGAAATCTTGCCCCAGATTCAGTCCCCATTTCTTTCAAATGCCAGTTTTCTTGAAAGGATACAGGAAAATGCTTTGGGATCAGATTCCAGTATTTTGATTTCCTACTGGAAGTAATGGGAATTTGGTAAGTCAATACTTAATGTAATACTTAATGTAACTGATTGGTTCAATAAGTTTATTCTGTCTGGAACTAATGATGAATTTAGACCAGTGTTTGCATCTTTCATACAATGTTGAAAGCAATCAACTCATATATCAATCACCTCTTGATAAAACAAGTTACTTTCTTTGAAAAATATGTCTATCTTGTATTTAATCATTATTATCTTTTACAAAAATTAGAATAGTGCCTTTTTTAAAAGTAGATACATATGGGTGTTTTCATAAGTGATTTTAAGGCTTTGGGTGTGCCACAACTATATGAATATGATTCAAAGTATAGAAAATGAAAGAGTAACTTGAGCAGCATTGACAATCAATTTTAGAACTGGCTGCCACTGGCATTTCAAATCTCACTAATATAGAGTTTGGAAATGGTAGTTTTATTTTGTTTTATTTTT